AACTGGACTTACAAGTACAGGAAGCCAACAGAACTCCTAATTGCATCAATGCAAAAAGACCTTCTCCAAGGCATATAACATTAAAACTGGCAAAAAGTCAATGAGAAAGAAAAAATACTAAGGGCAGCAAGGCAGAAGAAAATAACCTACAAAGGAACCCCTATCAGGCTTTCAGCAGATTTCTCAGCAGAAACCTTACAGGCTAGGAGAGAATGGAATGATGGATTCAAAATACTGAAAGAGAAAAACTTTCACCCAAGAATATACTATCCAGCGAAACTATCCTTTGGATATGATGGAGGCGTAAAAGGTTTCCCAGATAAACAAAGCTGAAGGAGTTCATCACCACTAGACCTTCCTTACAGGAAATGATGAAAGAAGCCCTCATACCTGAAACACAAAGGCAAACGTTTACAAAACCTTGAACAAGGAGATAAATAGACCAATACAATCAGAAAAGTGCAGCTCTATATCAGAATAGGTCAGTAAACACTTAATTATAACATAAAAGACAAAGGGCGGGGAAGCATCAGAAATAACTATAAACACTTCAATTTAGTCACAAACACACAACACAGAAAAGAACAATTTGTGACAACAATAACTCAGAAAGGAAAGAGGAAAAGGTTGGAACCTAGTTAAGCTAACGGAGACAAGAGACTATCAGAAAATGGCCTGTCATCTACGAGATCTTTTATACAAACCTCATTGTAACCACCAAACGAAAAAATCAAAGCAGAGCCACAAATCATAAATAAAGAGAAAACTGAGAAAACCATCTCAAAAAACCACCAAACTGAAATGGCAGTCAGAAATACAAGGGGAAAAAAACATGGAAATATAGAACAACCAGAAAACGAGAGATAAAATGTCAGTATTAAGCCCTCATATATCAATAATCAGTCTAAATGTAAATGGATTTAATTCTCCAATCAAAAGACACAGAGTGGCTGGATGGATTAAAAAACAAGACCCAACAATATGCTGCCTCCAGGAAACACATCTCAGTTCTAAAGACAAACATCGGCTCAGAGTGAAAGGATGGAAGATGATATTCCAAGCAAATGGCAAGCAAAAGGAAGCAGGTATTGCCATACTTATATCAGACAAGCAGACTTCAAGATGAAAAAGACAATGAGAGACAAAGAGGGGCAATATATAATGATAAAAGCAACATTCCACCAAGAGGACCTAACATGAATATATATGTGCCTAGCACAGAAGCACCAGAGTATATAAAGCAACTATTAACAGACCTAAAAGGAGAAATTGACAGCAACACAATAATAGTAGGGGACCTCAACACCCCACTTATAGCAATGGATAGATCATCCAGACAGAAAGTCGACAAGGAAACAGTGGCCTTAAATGAAATACTAAACCAGATGAACTTAGACAGATATAGAACATTCCATCCAAAACAGCAGAATCCATATTCTTCTCAAGTGCACACAGAATATTCTCAAACACAGACCATATGTTGGGAAACAAGGCAAGCCTCAAAAAATTTAAGAAGACTGAAATCATATCAAGTATCTTTTCTGACCACAGCACCATGAAATTAGAAATCACTTACAAGATAAAGGCTAGAAAAGTCACAAATATGTAATCAACATGCTACTAAACAACTGTTGGATCAGTGAAATCAAAGGAGACATCACAAAAATACCTGGAGACGAAAATGAAAACATAACATACCAACTCTTATGGGATACAGCAAAAGTGGTTCTAAGAGGAAAATTTATGACAATACAGACCCACAGCAAGAAAGAAGAAAAATCTCAAATAAGCACTCTTAAACTACACCTAACTGAAAACTAGAAAAAGAAGAACAAACAAAGTCCGCAGAAAGGGGAAAATAATAAAAATTAGTGCAGAAATAAATGAAATAGACACTAAAAAAACAATTGAAAGACCCAATGAAACAAAAAGCTGGTTCTTTCAGAAGGTAAACAAAATTGACAAACCCTTAGCCAGACTTACTAAGAAAAAAAGAGAAAAGGCTCAGATATCTAAAATTAAAAGTGAAAGAGGAGAAATTACAACAGGTACCACAGAAACACAAAGGATTATAAGAGAACACTATGAAAAATCAAATGCCAAGAAACTGGACAACCTAGAAGAAATGGATAAATTCTTAGACTCATACAACCTCCCGAAATTGAATCAATAAGAAATAGAGAATCTGAATAGATCAATCACAAGTAACGAAATGGCAACAGTAATCAAAAACTTCCCAAAAAACAAAAGTCCAGGACCAGATGGTTTCTCTGAAGAATTCTACCAAACATTCAAGGAAGAGTTAATACCTGTCCTTCTCAAAGTATTCAGGAAAACTGAAGAAGACAGAATGCTTCCTAATTCATTCTATGAAGCCAACATAACCCTGATACCAAAACCAGACAAGGACAACACAAAGGAAAATTACAGGCCAATATCACTGATGAACACAGGAGCAAAAGTCCTTACCAAAATACTGGCAAACTAAATACAGCAATACATTAAAAGGATCATATACCATGATCAAGTGGGATTTACACCAGGGACACAGGGATGGTTCAATATTCGCAAATCAATCAATGTGATGCACCACATTAACAAAATGAGGAGTAAAAATCACATGACCATCTTAATAGATGCAGAGAAAGCATCTGACAAGATCCAACATCCATTTATGATCAAAACTCAATAAAATGGGTACAGAAGGAAAGTACCTCAATATAATAAAGGCCATATATGACAAATGCATAGCCAACATCATACTCAACAGTGAAAAACTGAAAGCCATCCCTCTGAGAACAGGAACAAGACAAGGGTGCCCACTCTTAGCACTCCTATTCAACACAGTACTGGAGGTTTTGGCCAGGGCAATTAAGCAAGAAAAAGAAATAAGAGGTATCCAAATTTGAAAGGAAGAAGTAAAACTTTGCCTGTTTGTGGAGGACATGATTCTATATATAGAAAACTCTAAAGAATCCAGAAGAAAACTATTAAAAATAATCAACAATATTGCAGGGTACAAAATCAACTTATAAAAATCAGTTGCATGTCTGAGCCAGCCCTGACAGCCTAGTGGTTGAAGTTTGGTGCTCTCACCACTTCGGCAGCCCAGGTTCATTTCCCAGTTGTTGGACCACACTACCAGTATGTTAGCTGCCATGCTGTGGTGGCGGCTCACAAAGAAGAACTATAAGGACTTACAACTGGGATATACAACCATGCACTGGGGCTTTACAAAAAATTAGCTGCATTTCTACACACTAATAACAAACTAGCAGAAAGAAAAGTCAAGAACACAATCCCACTTACAATCACTACAAAAAGAATAAAATATCTAGGAATAAATTTAACCAAAGAGGTGAAAGACCTATACAATGAAATCTATAAGACATTATTGAAAGAAATTGAAGATATAAAGAAATGGAAAGATATTCCATGCTCATGGATTGGAAGTATAAACACAGTTAAAATGTCCATATTACCTAAAGCAATCCACAGATTCAATGCAATGCCAGTCAGAATGCCAATGACATTCTTCACAGAAATACAACAAAGAATCCTAAAATTCATATGGAACAACAAAAGACCCCAAATAGCTAAGGCAATCCTGAGAAAAAAGGACAAAGCTGGAGGCACCACAATACCTGACTTAAAATATACTACAAAGCTATAGTAATCAATACAGCATAGTACTGGCACAACAACAGACACACACAACAATGCAACAGAATTGAAAGCCCAGAAATAAAACCACACATCTACTGACAGCTAATGTTCAACAAAGGAGCCAAGAACATACAATGGAGAAAGGAAAGTCTCTTCAATAAATGGTGCTAGGAAAACTGGACAGCCACATGCAAAACAATAGAAGTAGACCATTATCTTACACCATGCACAAAAATAAACAAATAGGATAACATCAGACTAAAAAGCTTCTGCAAGGCAAAGGAAACCATGAACAAAATGAAAAGACAACCCACCAAATGGGAGAAAATATTTGCAGATCATATATCCGAGAAGGGGTTAATTTCCATAATATATAAAGAACTCATACAACTCAACAACAAAAGAAACAAACAACTCAATCAAAAAATAGGCAGAGGATAGGAAGAGACATTTTTCCAAAGAGATACCGATGGCCAACAGGCACCTGAAAAGGTGTTCAACATTAGTATTAGGGAAATGCAAACCAAAACTACAATGAGATATCACCTTACACCTGTCAGAATGGCTATAATTACCAAGAAAAAACAGCAAATGTTAAAGAGGATGTGGAGAAAAGGGAACCCTCATCTACTGCTGGTGGAATGAAAACTGATGCAGTCACTATGGAAAACAGTATGGAGGTTTCCCAAAATATTAAAAATACAAATACCATACGATCCAGCTATCCCACTACTGGAGATTTATCCAAAGAACATGAAATTGACAATTCCAAGAGATTTATGCACCCCTATGTTCAATGCAGCATTATTCACAATAGCCAAGATGTGGAAGCAACCCAAGTGCCCATCAACAGATGAATGGATGAAGAAGATATGGTGTATATACACACAATGGGACACCACTCAGCTATAAAAAGACAAAATCGTCCCATTTGCAGCAACATGGATGGACCTTAAGGGTATTACGTTATGGTTATTACGTGAAATAAGCCAGACAGAGAAAGACAAACACCATATGATTTCACTTCTATGTGAAAGATGAACAAACACATGGATAAAGAAAACAGATTAGTGGTTACCAGAGGGGAAGGGGGTCGAGGAGTGGGCAAAAGGGGTAAAGGGGCACATAAGTATGGTCATGGACAAAGTTAAACTACTGGTGGTGAGGATGATGCAGTCTATACAGAAACCGATATAGAGTAAGGTACACCTGAAATTACATAATGTTATAAACCAATATGACCTCAGAAAAAACCCAACTAGATTAAATGAGAAGAATTTACAACACTGAAAGGTTTATATAGACGACAAAGAAAATAAAAGAAAACCACTTACCGTAAGTAATCAATAGAAGGACAAAAGGAATGTTTTTAAATAGGTTCCTTATTGATTTCTCATAGGAGTACTCTTCAGGGGAACTGTCTTGGATTGCTGCTTGAGCCTGACTTGGTGGATACTGAGGTTTTTCTTTGAATGCTGGAAACATACAGAAAAAGGCAATTAAATATATGTATCTTCCTCAGTGAGCAGATTAAATTCACCTTAAGTTTAAAGAGGTAGTGAATGTCTTTTATAGTGAAGCTTTTCATTTTCACTAATTTCTAAATGAAGAATAGTTTGGCATTATCATCTCAGTCCTCTGAAACTGACTAAGACACAGAGATTTGGCCAATTCGCACAACTGAATAGCAAAACCAGCAATATTATATCACAACATTGCCCGCTGATTATTCCATTTTTAGTTATGCAAGATCAATTTTGATTATATTAAGTATTCAACAATTGTATTTTTAAATTTAGTTCAGTTTATAAGTAGAGGTAACATCAGATATGAGCAAGCCAATGTATTATTGAACTTTTAGAAGACTGTCTTTAGTAATTATTTTCTTGATATTTGACATAGTTTATCATCTGATCTAATAATACTTTTAGAACTGAAAAAGTCGAGGTGGATTCATGGGAGCGGAACTAGGTGTTTCTTGCTGACTCACTCTAGCTGCATATGGAAAATCTAGGTGTAGAGCTGAGTGATACAAAAGGCGATATATGGTTTCCAACACTGTAAGTTCTAGCACTTCCGATTTTTATGGAGTTACAGATCTCACAGCCTTCTCAGGCAGACATTTAGAGACTGCTCTTCTGATGGGCAGGGAAGGATCTACCAACTTCCTGTAACACGTGGCTAGAGAGATTTCTGTAGGTTTAGGCAAGTCAGACGTCAAGACTACTCGAGAAAGAGTTAAACTGCTAAAATTTGGTACATCAAAATTAAAATCTAGTTTTAGTAATGACTCAAAAATTTAAACTAAAATAGATGGAAAAATACTGTATTTCATTGACTCTAAGATGCTCTGATGCTGGCACTCGATGATCTTGCCAGGTATTAATAGAAGGCTTCTATATAACCATGCCTCAATTGCCACCAATGTTACATGCCATTAATTTTTCTTTATTGTAGTAAGAACACTTAACATGAAATCTATCGTCTTAATAAATTTTCAAGTGCACAATACAGTATTAACTATAAGCATAATATCGTACAGATCTCTAGAACTTAATCATCTTAGACGCTACTGATTATTAAAGTCATCTCAATTTCAGAGATTTCATGAAAAAAATGTACACTTTAGGAAAAGGCGAAAGATTTATACGATCTGAAGAGAAACCAGAGTATAAACGCACACTTTAGAATCCATGAAATAGGGTAAATTCAAAAACTGAAAAAGAAGGTAAATGGATTCATAAAAAAGTAATATTTTCTAAAAGATCAGAATTTCTTCTTTCTCTTTCTCTTTTTTACAGTGGCTATTTCTTCCAACAAGGAAGGCACGCTTTGTAGTCTAAAAGTGGGCTAGATCTGATGGACCTGGCTGTCAATCATAATCATGTAGAAATTTAAAAATAATACAGATTTTGACATTCTACCCAAAGCTCAGTGAATCAGAACCTCCAGAATGGAACCTGAGAATCTGTATTAAACACAAAACCCGAAATGCTATCAATACCCAGCCGGGTTTGAAAATCATTGCGAAAGAAATGATCCTTAAAACTTCCATATGAAACTTCCATATCAAACCATAATTCTCTAATTCTCCTGTTTGCTGCTAATAAAAAAATTAAACTTCTTTGCTCACCAAAACATTGATTAATTATGATTTAACTAAAACTTATCAAAGTAAACCAACTTCTATTTTTATAGGTCTCACAACTAATTCATGAGGAGACATAATTCATAAATATTTACTTTTTAATATTCTTACATTGGAGGACTGGTAGACATAAAATATTTAAGTTCTTGCAACTCCTCCTCTTCCTTTCACCCTATCTGCTCCTTGGACTGTTGAGGACGTCTGCTGTCCTTTCCTGAAAGTCACTTTGTGTCCCAGTTAAGATAGAAAGCTATCTCTTTTTATTAATGTTGGTAATACAGAACTCATACAGTTGTAAAACAAAGCTTCAGAATGTAAAGCTATGCTTACAAGGTACTCATGGGTATTCAATGAGTCTCTTACTTAGGTTTTTACTCACTATGGTAAAATAAGTCTAAATGGTTTGGATGTAAACTCAAATGCAAAATGAAAACAATTCTTACTAGTCTTTAACTCTACTAGATTTATTTTCTAAAAACCAGTGTTATCTTTTAGTTTCAGGTAGTCAACTGCCCTTTGAGCAAAATCAGGCCTGTATCTACCGCCAACACAATATAATAAAAGTTGGGCTTAAGTCTATATGAAGAAAAAGAGGAACAAGAAAACCACTGGTCTATGACCCTGGTTACGCTGCACTGCTCCTTTCAAAGGATGAAACACGGCTTCTCCTTTCTCCTTTGAAACTGAAAAACAATAGCCTTCTGCCTTCTTTTCTCCCCACTAAAAACCTGTGCCAACAAAATAACTATCAAAGCAGTTATTCCCTGCCCCTGGCAACAGGCATATAAAGTAGCCAAAGGACTTTTGGGCACCACAGTCAAACTTTTTCTCCCATGATAAAAAAAGTAGCAAATCTATTGCTGTTTAGGACCACTTCTACTTTTTGAAATTAGACTATGACATTATCTTTTGATTTTATCATTTGTCCCTGTGGTTCAAGCAAACGTTACACATACTAATTTATTATAAGACAAATAGAAGTTTAAATCCTGGCTCTGCCTCATTTCGCTGTATGACTCTGAAGAAGACAATTCCTTCCTCTCGACTACAGCTTTCTCATCCATAAAATGGAAATAACATCAACAAGCTGCTATGAGGATTGCATGATGTAATGTAAAACAATTCTGTAATTATTGAGTGAACACAAAGTACATTGTCTGTTTTGAGGAACAGTTATTTCTTAAAATCAGAGACTATCTCAGGGACTTGAAATTCTGATAAATTAAGTAAAATGTATTTTTGTTAAAACTTTACAATAGTAGCCTATACATAGATATCCTGAATATAAGAATCAAAATAAAACTATGCATATATGTTCTACACTCACATGTGTAAGTACCTTAATATTAAATATTCTGACTGCCATTACTTTTGGTTTCTGTCTTGCACTCACTGTAGAGAACCAGGATGGTAAGGATTTTACTTGATACACCTAAGTGATGTAGTTTACTGCTCTGCTGCACAAGAATAGCTTTCAAATATAACATTACCACTCATACAAGAGGAATTTGAATTGAAATAAAAAATAAGGCTAAGTAAAAGTTAAAACGATGTATTTTTATATAAAACATTTTCTATATGGAGTTAGATTGCCAAGCCTCAAATCTCATTTTCAGTATTTACTAACTGTGATCATGGGTATATTAAATTTATTTAAATTCTGGCTCCAGTTTCCTCATCTATAAAATGGGAATGATAATATTACTGTAAGTTAATTGAGATACAGCATGTAGTGCGTCTTTAAACATGTTTGGTGGGGCTGGCCTGGTTGCAGAGTGGTTAGGTTCATGCACTCCACTTTGGTTATCCAGGGTTCACAGGTTTGGATCCCGGGCACAGACCTACACACTGCTTGTCAAGCCATGCTGCAACAGTGTCCCATACACAAAATAGAGGAAGATTGGCACGGACGTTAGCACAGCAACAATCTTTCTCAAGCAAAAAAGAGAAAGATTGGCAACAGATGTTAGCTAAGGGCCAATCTTCTTCACCAAAACAAGACAAAACATGTTTGGTATATATCAATTAAATGCTAAGGGCTATAATAGTGTTCTCTGAATAAGAACAGAGTATTAGTGTGAAATTCAGTGGAAGGCATGGGTTAATTCCTAGAAATGTTAGATGGATTATACTCACATGTAAGCTCCATGAGGGAGAGGAACAGCGTTACATGACACGAACCTTCAAGACAGTATTTTAGGAAGACTGCTGAACACCAACTTAGTATATGTCATCTTGCTGAAAGCATCAGCAAAACTAAACTATTTTAGAAGATCTGGTTGGGCTTCCAAAGTATTTATCAGTAGAATTTAGAGGAAAGTAGCACTGTGTCCCAGTAATTTTGGTCCTTTAAGTAAGTACAGATTTTTTAAAAATCCACATTTTCCTCAATAGTAAACATTTGGATATGAGGAAAATAGGTAAATTTTTTATTTAAACGTCACAATTTTCAACCTAAGACTTCCATATCACAACTGAGTATTATCTTACTTTTATACTAAGCTTAGTATCATAAGATTAAGATTATAGGCTGCCAAGCAAAACTTGACAATGAGCTCTTTTTTCCTATTCCATTTCCATTCTTCTTTTTCCCCATTTCCATTTCCACCATCTACCCATACGCCATGAGTACATAAATATGTAATTACATACATAAATAGCTCTCTCAATTTCTCCAATAACACAGGGTGATAAGCGAATGGTCACACCTATTATCATTTTCTCCCTCCTCTGACAACTAATTTTATATTTGTAGCATCTCATACATATACTTTTAAACACATATATAATTTCATAGCTTTACATATATACAATCTACTACTCTCTCACTTCTTTTTTTTTAAAAGATTTTATTTTTTCCTTTTTCTCCCCAAAGCCCCCTGGTACATAGTTGTGTATTTTTAGTTGTGTGTGTCCTTCTAGTTGTGGCATGTGGATGCTGCCTCAGCATGGCTTGATGAGCGGTGCCATGTCCGCACCCAGGATCCAAACCAGTGAAACCCTGGGCCACCGAAGCGGAGTATGTGAACTTAACCACTCGGCCACGGGGCCAGCCCCTCACTTGTTTCAGAGACACGCAATTAAAGACAATTAAAAAAAACGCAAACCACAATTTATGTGAAGATATATACGCAATCAAAGGAAACAGAATTTTATACTTTAAAAATCCCTATTGCTAATAAAAGGTCCGTTTATGCAAAATCCATATAAACTCTATTTCATATTTCATCTATGACTACCAGAAAAGCAGACTTAAGAGCTTGTTTTTAAAAAATATATAATTTCTCTTAAAACTTTGTTAAACTGCTAAAATATTACAGGGTTAATTTTTTCTTTTTCAGTAGCCTCTACACAGCAAATACGCCACTCTCAGACTAATTAAGGACATAAAGCCAACCATAAGGAGATTGGACACGTCAGAATATATGCTACCAAGAGAACATTTGCTCATTATCTTAAACAAAATTAAATATGTGGCTGAGCTTCCTGTACCTGGATCCTGCAGTCCATCTACAAAGGCAGTCTCTATTGAAACACTCCATAGTCTTCAGCACACATTTCTTTGAAAACTGAGGATTTCATATCTGGAGATCATAAAACTTGAATTTTTCATTACTAGTATAGCCATGGTAAAAATTAATACACAAATTTTAAAACTCCAGCTATAATGCAGTTTAACTGTAAATTTTAATGATTAAAAGATGGCCTTTCCACTTTGTAATTCCTCTCCTCTTCAAATCAATTTAAGATAAACTGAGTGCCTAATGGGCAACATTACAGTTACGTTGGCAGCTACATTACTTAAATAAACCTTACCTATCCTTTTCCCTGAAATCAAAATTGTTTCCCATTAAAAATAAACTTTAAAAAGCAGACCTTCCCAAACCTTCTTCCAAACTGCTGATGGCTGCTGGCAGCTGATTCTGACTGACTGCTTCAAGAGACAGGCCCAGACGAGAGGACTCAGTGACGAATGGTGGCAGCAGTGCTTTGCTGGAGTGGCCTAACAAGCAGATAGTTGCCACAGTTTGAAATTCTGCTGAACAGCTTGCTGCTGCCCAGGGTCATTCACTGGTCAACATTTTCAGATCCAGTTAATTGTTAAGTTAGGGATCCTTGGAAGGATTTCCATTAAAATGAAAGTTGTAGCCTATTATCATCATTTCAAAGCATGACAAGAACTTGTTCCTGGCTAGGTTAGCAGAGGAATATGCAGAGAGGAGGCAGGTAATATGTTTGAAACCAAGAGTTATCAGAGAAGAAAAGTTAGTAGGGAGATAAATGAGATGAATTAGTCTTCAAACCCTTTACAATACTGAAACAGATGTAGTGGACCATAACATATCGCTAGGGTTGTAGCATTCATTACCTGAACAAGACAGTGCACAGCGAGAATGAAACAAGCAAATGGCATTCAAGGTATTATCATTAAGAATTTCAGGGTTGGTTATCTTTATTTTCATATGTTTGTCATGCATTTATCTATGTAAACTTCAGGGAAAATAATTCACTTACCAATTACTGCCAAAATAAATAAAAGTGTGGCAACAGCTGACGTTCCATAAAACATGGTACTGATATTACAAGCCAGAAGATCTGTGTTATTCTGTGTGTTGGGCACTAAAACAGGTGGTAGCAAAAAGCCAACTGCAGTTCCAAGCTGTAAAACAAAGAGTCCTGTTAAGAGCTATTATTATAAGAGAAAAAAAGTACATACTGGCAATTAACACAACTTAAGAAGACAGCTAGTGTATGTAAGGTGCTTTTGTAAACTTTAAAGCAGCATCTTCTAATGTCTCTACTACTATGGTACTGTTAAAGGGAAATTGCTGACAAATGTCTTCCCTATTCAACAAACATTTACTGAGCTCCTGCTATCTGAATCATGCTGCGAAAAAGTTGTGTGAGATACAGTACCTACCCTTTAGATGCTTACAATCAAAAAAGGGAATAAGAATATGCAATATAAGGCTGAGAAAGACAATCTATAGAATGGAAGAAAATATTTGCAAATCACATATCTGGTAAGATTTACTATCCAGAATACATAAAGAACTCTTACAATTCAATGATGAAGAGACAAACATCCCAACTCAAAAATGGGCAAAGGACTCAGACAGTTCTCCAAAGATATACAAATGTCCAACAAGCACGTGAAAAAATGCTCAATATCATTAACCATTAGGGAAATGCAAATCAAAACCACAATGAGATACCACTCCACAACCCCTAGGATGGCTATAATAAAAATGTTAAAAAAATTAAAAAACAGAAAATAAGTATTGGCAAGGATGTAGAGAAACAGGAACCCTTGCACACTGCTAGTGGGAGTGTAAAATAGTGCAGCCCCTGTGGATAACAGTTTAGCAGTTCCTTAAAAAGTTACACAAAAAATTACCATATGACCTAGCAATTCCAGTCCTAGGTATATAACCAAGAAACTGAAACAGGTATTCAAACAAATATTGAATACTGTACATGAATATTCATAGCAGTCCTATTCACAACTGCCAAAAGGTACAAACAACCCAAATGTCCATCAAAAGATGAACGGATAAACAAACTGTGGTACATCTCTGCAATAAAATATTATTCAGTCATGAAAAGAATGATGTACTGATACATGCTACAACATGGGTGAACTTTGAAATCATGCTAAGTGAAAGAAGCCAGACACAAAAGGCCACCTATTATATGACTGCCTTTGTATGAAATGTCTAGCATAGGTAAATCCATAGAGAGGAAAAGCAGATTAGTGATTGCCAGAGGCTAGAGGGAGGGAGGAATGAGGAGTGACTGCTTAATGGGTACTGCGTCTTCTTTGAGGGTAGATGAAAATGTTTTGGAACTAGAGGTGATGGTTGTGCAACACTGGGAATGTACTAAGTGCCACTGAGCTGTATGCTTTAAAATGGTTACTTTCATGTTATATGAATTTCATCTCAATAAGAAAAAAATAGAGCTGAATATGATAATCACAAGAGAAATAAAATCAATATATTAAAGGAGGTTCAATGGAGAGAGATATCAGATTCTTTGGAAGAGTGGAGGAAAAGAAAAAGGCACCAAGATTGGTTTCAAGAAGGAGGCTGAGGCAGAGATAGTAACAAGTATCTCATTTGCTCCCTTACAAAAAGTTGGAAAGAGGCAATTAATCAGGTAATTAAAAGTGACTGTAGTTAAGTACAATACCGTGATGGAGAGGTAGAGGGTGCCAACTGGGGAGATGATGTAATTTATCATCCAAACAGGAACACTGTTCAGAGTGAAAAGGACTCCATCAGTAATTATGCTATATGACTCGAGACTATTCCAGGCAAACTGGGACTCAAGGTCACCCCAGCTGAGACAGTACTTTGGAGGAGCACTTTGTGTAGACTTGGGGTTTGGGAAAAGTTTCTGGAGAAGCAAAGATCTAAATAAGAAATTGGAGTTAGCCAAGCGAAGTAGAAGTGTTCCCAACCAAAGGGACATCATGTACAAAGGCGAGGAAGAAGACAGCATGACCTTGTGAGAAACTGTAAGTAGTGCACAGTCCCCCTCAGAGCAGAGAAAGAGTTCGTCTGCAGAATTAGGGGTGTGGAGAGAGGTGAAGCTGAGTAGTTGGCAGGAGGCAGATGTGGAGGGTCTCACATTGTCACATTAGAGAGTCTGGATTTTATCCTAAGGGCAATGGAAGCCACGACAGGGGGCAAGAGACTGCCGTGGACAGATTTGGACATTAGAAAGACCACACTGGATGAGTTTAGAGAAGGGAGGGAAGAGGGTGAGAGCTGCAGCAAGGAAGGTCAGTTAGCAACCTCTAGGTGACAGCTGGGGTTACCCAAAGCTAAGAAACTGGCAGTAGAGATGAAGAAAAATGAGTAGGAGACAAGGTAAATTTTAAGTGGTGGGTTTGTATGGGATATTCTAGCGGAAATATCCAGCCGGCCAGCATCTGAGTCTGAAGCTCATTCATTTATTCAACAAATTTTCATGGAGAATCTAGAATGTGCCAGGCATTGTAATAAATGCTGGTGAAACAGCTGTGTACATTCAAACCACGTGCCTATTTTCATGAAACTTACAATCTAATGGCAAGGATGGGGGATGAGCAATAAATAACAATTAACGTATAAACATATAAATATGTGGGACAGTGATAAGAGCTACAAGGAGAATCAAAGTATAATGATATAATAAGAGAGTGACTAGGCAACTCTAAACAGGATCATCAAGAAATGCCACTGAATGATATTTAAACTGAAAGGTGAACGACAATAAGGACATAATAATGTGATCCTGGAAGGAAGAACATTCCAGGCAGAAAGAATGTTTCTGCAAATAGAAGCTTAATGTTGTTTAAGGAACCAAACAAGACATATCAGTTAAGATTTTGTAAGCCAGAGTAACAACTTTAGATTTTAAGTAGTATGGTAACTCACTGGCAAGTTCAAAGCAGGGCAATGACATGATCTGATCTATGTTTTAAAAGGTTCTCTCAGGTTAGAGATTTGGCAGTATGGATGTGTAGTTAAAAGCCAGGATTCAGGAATCAGACAGAAATGAATGTGCATGCTGCCTCTAATTAGCTGTGTGACTTTGGAAATTAATTTCATCCCTCCAAGTCTCACTTTCTGTATCTACAAAACTGGGAGACTAATAGTTCCTACCTTACATTATTAAATTAAATGACACAATGCCTGTAAAGTATTTAGCATGGTGCCAGGTTCTTAGTGAGTGCTCAATAATGCTGAATATTATTATGGATGATTATTCTATAGTCTAGGCTGAAGATGCATACTTGGTGGTTATGAGCAAGTGCACAGCTACTGGAGTCAAGGAAGGATTAGGGAGAAACTCTTAGGGAGAATTAGGAAGGCCCAGAGGTGTGCTGAGTCAGTTAGAAGGAAATCTGCCTAAGAGAAAACATTTCCATTTATTATCCATGAAATAGATGATCCATAGATACGGAATTGATAATATTTCTGTTATGCTCAATGAATGTTAATCTTGAACATAATTTAGTAAATGTAAACTACTTTAAGAAAGCAGTTCATATCCAAACATGCAGAAGCAACCAACTAAAATATCAGTCACAAATTATTTTGGATTCACAATATTTCGAGCTATCGTTTCGTCTGTACTTTTAAAGAAAGGAAATAAATATAAAGCAATAAGCACACAGAGTTTGTCTTTTTATGGATTTTAAACAAATCCTGTGATGTTGCAACACTATTAGACCAAAAGTAAGACTAACATTCTTTTGTTACATAGCTACATGTAGTACCATATGAATAGAGAGAGGTTATGTTTTTGGTATACAGATTTTTAACTAGATTCTCCTCAAGCTGAAAGAACACTCAATACAATTTACATAAAATATTATAGACTCCATATGCAAAATTTAAATTACAATAATCAGTTTGCAATTTAAAAAAAACACGGAAACCATTCTACCTAGTAATGCTAGTGACATGCTAACGGAATTTGAACCTATGGTGTTCCGAAAGACTAGGAAGCACCTTAATACAGGCTTGGCAGAATAAGCCACCCTTTCACAATGGATTCCATGATGTGTGATTTGTCTTGCATTTTCTTACTGTTAATAATTGGTAATTGGACTCAGCAATGCTGTGAGGCCTTATCCCTAGAACGTTTATTTAGCAGTCATTTATAAGTGTCTGTCACGCACCAGGGACCCTGTTGACCACTAATACATAAAATTAAACGGGCTGTACACATTGACCACTCAAAATGGGAACAAATTTCCCAGAATCCAACACCTTCCTTTTGCAAAGAATACAGTGGTGACAAAAATAATACCTATCCTAGTCTCATTCATTACTGCAATGACAGTTTTTCTATGATGTGAGGCATATATAGGCTAAAACAGTTATTTTACAAGTAGTTCTCAAAGATGACAAGAGGGTCACTTTAAACTGGTTTTGAAAGTTCTCTCCTTACAAATAAATCAAAAACGCTCTTTAATCCAAGACTGCCTCCTCTCTTGTGACTACTCACCTCTTCTCCTTCATTTATGGACAAATGCCTCCTGAGGGTCTATCCATACGCCTAGCTCTCATAGCCTACGATTTCTCCTGGTCCTCTAAGGATCCGATTTTCATCTATCACCCTAGTCCTTACCTGATTGCCTAGCACGGCGGTGGCACAAGCTGTGGACACCTCCTTGGGCCCAAACCACACTGAGGCGATGCGAGAGGGTAAGCCCAGGATGAACACCTGGGCCACGGAGCACAGGCACTGACCCAGCATGGTGACCCAGAAGAGATGCTGCTGCACACTGCCGCACTTGACCCAGGCGCCCAGGCAGTTGAGGCCGGAGCCCAGCAGGGCGGTGAGCCGCAGGCCTCTGGTGTCCAGTAGCCAGGTGGCCGGGAAGATGAGGGGCACATAGGCCAGCATGTACACCATGGACAGCCAGTCGACGTGCAGCGAGGAGACGCCGTAGAAACCCTCGAAGACGTTGCTGATGATGCTGTACTGGATCCACTGAAAGGCGTTCACCAGCGAGTACAGGCTGAAGATCAGGAGCACCACAAAGCGCCGCGGCGACAGCGCCGTCCGCGACATCCGGGGGTCCTCGGCGCACGGGGTCTCCTCCCCGGGGCCCTTGGGCAGCAGCCGGACCTGGGTCTCCTCCTCCGGGGCCAGCGGAGACTGTGGCCTGCCCAGGGCTCCCAAGGCGGCCGCGGGGCTGTCCGGAGGGACCCCATTCAGGGCCAGGAAGCCGGCTTTGGGCCCGTTCTGCGGCTCCGCGTTCACCTTCCCGGCGGGCGCGTCCCCCGGGACCAGGAGGTATCCTTTCGTGGGCGGGTGCGCGGCCGCCACCGCCGTCCCCTCCTCATCGTCCGGCCGCGCCATGTCCCCGGGCACCCGGCGCCGCCTCGCGCCCCGCTCTCCTACCCCGCCCGGCACCCCCGGCCCGGGACCTGCCGCCCTCCCTGCACCCCAAGCCAACCCCTTGGCCCACTGCTCCTGCAACCCTTTCCGCCGCCGAGTGAGCCCGGGCGTGAGCCACAAAACGCAGCTCAGGTTGCCCGGTTCCGCAAACCAAGTCTTCCTCACGCGTGGCGGAGCCGGCAGTCACCCCGCGCCAGGCCCCGCCCCAGGAGCGTTGAGGCACCGCGCGGTGCCCACCAGCCAATCAGAGGGCACCTTCCCCCGGCGTGGGAGCCAATCGGGAGCTCCCTGGGGGGAGGGGCGGGAGCAAGTTGCCGGGAAGCGGAGGCGGGAGCGGGGAGGTAGGAGGTGCGGGGGAGGGGATGGCTGCGTTCGGGGTGCTCCTGGGAAGCGTGCGGTAGCGTCGTGTCCCGGTGCTGGGCGAACGGGAGGCGGCCCGCGGATTGGAGAACTCCGGAGAAACAAAAGAAACGGAGGCGGGCATCACCCTCTCCACCCAGAGGGGCTCCCCTGGGGCTGGGCCAAATCGACGGTGGAGGATGAATTTGACCTCTAGCCCTAGCACAGCTGTCCGTCAAGGTCTTTAGAGCAGACAGGACCACGTCTCATAAATTCTTGCTATCTCGGCAGAGGAAAAAAGCAGTAGAAAGCGTTCCAATCCAGATAAAGAGATTTCGTCAGAGATCTGCCCTTGTGAAGTTGGAATCCCCCCACCCCCGCGCCGCTGACGAAGAGGCGAGTGAGAGGTGTCGCGCCGGAGCAGACCGTGTCGCTCGGCATTCTCCCTTGGACCAACGCCTGTTGTTAGTATTTACTGGGCACGCGCATTCGGTGGGTTCCAGCTACCAAACTTGTTTTGAATGGTATGTGCCAAACACTGTCATAGGCCCTGGGGAATGAAAAACAAAAATGAGACATAGTCCCTGCCCTCACAAGTCGCTTGTAAATCTTCCTGGACTAGAGAAAAAGCCAGCCTTGCTACTTCTTGGGAAACTAAATCCGAAAGAAAAAAAAAAGACTCCAAATATTCATTATTAAAGTGAAATTGAGACTAGGGATATCTCACTATGGATTTAGTCTAAAGTGCTGCTATCTAGAATCCCAAAACCCTGTATACCTTCTTTTTATTGCCTCATTATTATTTTGGTCATGTATAAAAATATATCCTATACCTCTCAGTACAGGTGAAATGTTACATAATCCTATACTTTAAGGAATATGTGTATTTTAATGCCTTCCTTGGCTACCGTATATACATTGCCACACGCCCCCTCCCCTTGCCCCTTCCCTGCTTTATTTTTCTTCTTAGTGCTTACGTTATGTAAAGTGGCCTATATTTTACTTCATTTTTTTCTGGTTATTTTCTCCCTCCCCATAGAATGTAAGCTCCACGAGGGCACGGCCGAAAGTTTTGCTGTTTTTTGCTGCTGCTGCTGTGTTCTGAGAACTTGAAACAGTACCTAACACACATGTTCAATAAATATTTACTGAATTCAGCTAACAAGCATTGAATTACTATTGAATATTTTCAATAATTACTTGCTTCGTAAATGAATCCCATTTCTTTTTTTAAAAAACCTTGTAGATTTTCCCTGCAAATACGATTTCCTAAGCCTTGATTTAGGTATTATTTCAGATTAATGAGCGATGTTCTCTGAATGAACAAATCATGTGGAATCCAAAGGATTTCAGTTTTAGTTAAGTTTATTTTATGGAATTCTGTAAAATGAACTAATTGCATTGCTTAAAATTCAGCACAACTTATTATTCAATATTCAGAGGCATTTTTTATACCATCATGCACCATGAAACCTTCTACATAGCTCACAAAAAAAGCTGTTCAGAAAGGGAATCCAGTGGGTAGAATTTTAAATGGACCCTTCTTTGCTTGCCTCAGTTGTACCTCCATTCCAGATGTTCACAATAAACATTCAGGTGTCTGCAAACTTCCCACCCTCTTCCTGAAACCAGACACTGGCAAATTATATTAGGCTTCCTCTTCCTGTTACCCAGTGGGAGCTGGAGATAATCTTCTGCCAGATAACTTTCCTCTCTGTACAGAGACAGCTTCTTGAATGTACTCCTTCAGGGAGGCCATTCTTTCTGGTTGCGTAGGCTCCTTCTGTTTAGAGATAATTCGTCTTCTCTATGTCTTTAGCAAAAATGGTTGGGTTGGGAGTCCTCTAGGTAACCTAGATTTCAGTCAGCATCTAATTTCCCTCCATGTTTTTACCAGCTGATGCCTATGCTATTCTTGCCCACCTTGTCATTTGCCTTCCCTGTGCATGACAAAGCTCTGTATCTGACAATGTCACTATCTACATGGAGCATGCCACCAAGGAGGTCTAGAGTAGTGGGGAAGAGCATCAGATGTAGAGCCAGGCTACCTGGATTTGAATCCCAACTTCAGACTCGCTAGCTGTGCAACCTTGGGCAAGTTAATTAGCTGTTCTGTAACAGTACATGCTTCATAGGGTTGTTATTATGAAGATTAATGAGCGAATGATGCCTGGCACATGGTTCAGGCATTCTTAGTTACAGTTATTATGGTAGTCTACTATAGTGGTTAAGGGTCCAGGCTCCAGAGGCAACTGATCTGGACTCAGATCCTAGCTCTTTCACTCACTGGCTGCATGACTTTGGACTAGTTACTCTTTGCCTCATTTTATTGCAACTGGAAAATGAGGACAATGTTCTTTATGAATTGTTGTCATAAATAAATGGCTAATAAATATAAAGCACTTCAATGGTACCTGACCTCTGATTTGTAAGAATACTCAGTAAATGTTACCCAAAGCCATTGTTATCAACTCATATCTTTTCTCAAAGTCATATCTCATTCTTGTGTTATCTTAGATTTGACCCCGTCTTGTCTAATTAAGCCTTCTTGGAGTGTCCTGGAGTTACTCCAAGCTCTTTCAGACTGAATTTATGATTGTAAAAAGATAGCTCTGAGGATGCACCTGAAGGGCAACTCCCAATGGCATATACTAACTACCCGTGGCCTAAGAAGTAGATTTCTTCTCATTAGAGGTGGTCAACAGTTAAATGAACTACCATGTGATGTATTTAGACAGCAGTTAGATGATATCTGTGTTGGACCAGGTATGTTGTGGATAGAATTCCTGAATTCCATGGCAAATTGAGCTGTGTGAGATCTAAGGTTTCTTCTGACTTTAAGTTTCCATGATTTATGAAAAGTAAAATAAGATAGTTCCAGTGAAAAGATTGGACAAAATTCATGTACCTCTTTCAACAAAGTTCCATAAAGAATGGAGTGCAGAAAGGGGAAAACTCAGCAATAACTCTTTGTGGTATCATTCTAATCTCTTAACCGTTGCCTCCTCTCTCAAGGCTTTGGTAGTAGATACTTTTTAACCAGTGTAGGCATGAATCCTACTTTGTATCATATTTTAGGATGTATAACACAACATGGACCTTAATCTCTGCCAGAGAGGACACTACTTGGAGCGTCACTTGACTGGGAGTCAAAATGAGATTGAGCTACACCATGGGTGTGGAATGCAGAGTCTGAGTGAGATTTGACTATGTAATGGTTCAGTGATAATGAGATCTGAACAGCACCCAGGAGCCAAGGTCTGCGACACTATTAGGAGTGATGTGGCTGTTCCTGGGCAAAGGTTTCCTGCAGTCTAAGAGGGTGCAAACCAGAACAATGCCACTAGATGTAAAATCCATGTTTCATGGGGAGGTGGGTAGATTTTGGCAGGCTTGCCTTCAGTCTGCATCGCTGTTACCATGCTCTGGCCACCTGCGCAGCCAAGGCTGTGCTGTTCTACTCTGTGGAAAGATTAAGTTGGGAATAGAGGTCTGGAACAGGCTGGAAATCAGAATCCTCCTATGCGTACTTTTTTTTCCTGCATTGAGGCACTTTATGTGTTTGTATATATTATGTTCCTGGAAAAAGAATCCCAAGGTTTTCCCTTCCGTGTGTTTTTGTCTTGCTTTCTCTTGGTCTGTGCTGCCAATTGAGTTTGTCAGTCCAGTGAAATCGAACTGACAGGATGGGAGCAGATTATTCGGCCATTTTCCTAGGTCTTTGAGTTGCTCATCAAATCTAGGGCTGGTATTACTCCACTTGTGTAACCTGCTTACGAGGTTCGGAACAATTTTCCCAGCTCTGTGATCATCACATCAGCTCTGTGACTTCAAATTCGCCGATGTAACCATGCTTCAACATCGCAGTTAGAAACTGAATGATGACCTGGAAGCATGGCCTAATAAGAACTTGGTGTGTGGGTCTCTTTTCAGCATTGTTGATGCTCTTGAGAGGATCAGCCAAGACGTTCATGAGTACCATTGTAGCAGCACAGAACAATGGTGGAAACCACATGTACATTTTTGTGTAAATTGTTACAGATTTAATTTTTTTCCTGAGGAAGAGTAGCCCTGAGCTAACATCTGTGCCCATCTTCCTCTACTTTATATATGGGACACCTGCCATAGCATGGCTTGGTAAATGCTACATCTACCAGTATACCACTGCTAAAAATCTAACAAAACAAATCATCCAAAGCATTTAAAATACTACTTACAAGCTTAATAAGTTAAAACTTTTCAATTAAAATGAATTTTTTTTTTTGCTGAGGAAGATTTGCCCTGAGCTAACATCTATGCCAGTCTTCCTCTATTTTATATGTGGGTCACTGCCACATCATGGCTGATGAGTGGTGTAGGTCCATGCCCAGGATCTGAACCCATGAACCCAGGCTGCCAAAGCGGAGCCTGCCAAACTTAACCACTATGCCATGGGGATGCCCCAAAACAAATTTTCTTAAATAGTGAAATACTGTTTGCAAAGAAACTCTTTTAGAGCTGTGAGATAATTGAAAATATATATATTGGTCTATGCCCCCAGTGCCTGGCACAGAGATCCTTAAACCCTTGTAATTTCCTAAATGCTAGGAGTATCTTTTATTTTAATATTTGGTCTTTGACCCCAGTTCCTGACACAACGCTCCTAAATCCCTAGGAATTGCCTAGATGATAGAAGTGTCTTTTGTTCTAATGAGACAACCCTTCTGGGGTTCTTGGACGGGGGCTGGTCTCCAGAAAGACGAAGCCATGACAGTAAGCTTGGAGTTTTCAATTCCACCTCCCATTCTCCAGAGAGGGGAGAGAGGTTGGAAACAGAGTTAATGATC